CAGGTGGGGCAGTGGGCAGGTGTGCACAGGTGGGGCAGTGGGTAGGTGCGCACAGGTGGGGCAGTGGGCAGCTGCGCAGACACACGTTTGGTGAGGTCCATTTCCCTCCACCCACACCTTGATTCCCAATAAGACCGATAAAAAGGCAGCTTCAAAGCCAGCAATTGGTGAGAGGAAGACATGGCTCCAAGGTTTCCCCTCTGGAGCCCATAAAGCGGTCTCGCCTCCCTAGAAATCAAGCAAGTTGGTCTTTATCCCACGAAGAAAAACTTTTCCAGGGGCCCAAAGAAAGGCTCCTCACAGCCCGGAGCTGTAAGAAACCCCTCCCCAGCCTGCCTCTCCTGCCGTTTAATACCTGCCAATAAAATACTCAGATTATATGTATATCGCCATCTCCCCACATTCCAGGTATCTTACATTTGCCTGGAACTTCAGAACTTGAAAGAATTCTTTGATATAAATTACAAACCTGCTTTTGAAGGACCATTCAAAAAAAGAAAAGGAAAGAAAGAAAAAACCCAAAGCAGGCTATTATGTGCATAAGAGATTCTTCATGGGAGCTATAAACTCTGACAGGTTCTCTGCATTGCACATTTCATTTACCAACACCCCCGCCCCCACATCCTTGGCCTCACCCCGCCTTCCCCTGCCTCTCCTGCCATCTCCTCCTCCTTCCCCCACCTACACCAGCATCCTGAGAGCTGCTTCCTGCCTCCCTTTTCCCTCTCTCCCCTCTATTTATTTATCTGATTTATTAAAACAAAAACACACCAAATCTCCACAGGCCTCTGGGCACATGTACCCAAATAAAAAGACAGCAAATTAAATTAAGTGCCGCCTCTCAAAACTTGAATTCCCCACCAGCAGAAAAAAATCAGAAGGCCTTCGCTTTCGCCTCGTCCCCACACCTAGCTCCTTCCCACACACACACACGCACCTGTTTTCTGCCTTGTCTCTAAAACCTCTAAAATGCACATACACTCAGAGATCCTTTTCTGCTTCTTCTTCTGACATTGTATTTAATCTCCAGTGCCCCGCCCCCTCATCCACTTGCTCTCCCCAAGTGGACACGGACCGCCCCTTGGAGCCCAGGCGGCTGCCAGGCTGTGTCCAGGGCCCCTCTTTCTGTGCACATCGTTTCTAAGCATCCCATAGCCCCATGAAGCAGGGGCTCTTACTCCTCCGTACAAGTAAGGAAGCTGAGGCTCAGAGGCTCGCCAGCTGGTAAGTGATGGAAATGGGCCCAGCCTCGGCCACCGGGCCCTTTGTGTCCCCACTGAACAGAGCTGACTCAGAATCTTGGGGTGCTGGAGGGAAAGGAACAAGGGGGGTCTCTCTGGAAGGTGACTAGGAGGAGGAGGCTCTGAAAGGAATGGCCTCCTCTGGCCCTTTCCTCTGAGAGCCCATTGGGAGGCCTAGGTCATTGGCACAAAATCTTTTCCCACACTCATCTTGCTATTTCAGGTTTATTTCAAAAGAGATGGGGAACCAATCGATGCAGTGCCCCTGTCAGAGCCGCCGGCTGCAAGCTCTGGCCCCCTCCAGGACAGCAGGCCCTTCCGCAGCCTTCTGCACCGCGACCTGGATGACACCAAGGTGCAGAGGTCACTGTCCCTGCAGGACGCTGAGAACCGGGGTGGGAGGCCCTACACGGAGCGTCCCTTCCACAGCCTGACCCCAGACCCCAGCATCCTCCTCCAGCCAACCACCGAGAACATCCCAGAGACGGTGGTGAGCCGTGAGTTCCCCCGCTGGGTCCACAGCGCCGAGCCTGTCTACTTCCTGCGCCACAGCCACACCCCGGGCAGCGACGGCACTGTGGAGGTGCGCGCCCTGCTCACCTGGACACTCAACCCGCAGATCGACAATGAGGCCCTCTTCAGCTGTGAAGTCAAGCACCCAGCGCTTTCGATGCCCATGCAGGCAGAGGTCACACTGGGTAAGACTTGGCACTTGCCCTTCTGCAGAGATGGGGTAGGGAGCCTTGGAGTGGGGTCTCTGAGCCACTGCCATGGAGATGGGGGGGAGATGGAGCAGACTGGAGTCAGAGTGAGGCACAGAGGTCAGAATCGGGGTTCTTAAGGAGGTTTGCTGAGCTGGATTGGAGAACATGGGGCATTACAGGGAGGCCAGGAGAGTTCACTGGATAGGGCCAGGAACACGAGAGGTCATGGGAGTTCGGTCTGGGAGGATCAAGACTATGGATCAGTATTAGAAAACATGGGATGTTTTCAAGATTGGAAATGGAGGGCCGGGTGAGTGGCTCAGCTGGTTAAGAGCATGAGCTCTGAGGAACAGGGTCACCGGTTCGATTCCCACATAGGCCAGTGAGCTGCGCCCGAGCTGAGCTGCTGCTGAGCTGCCAACAGGTGGCAGGATGGCTTAGCTGGTGAGAGCACGTGCTCCTAACAACAAGGTTGCCAGTTCAACTCCCACATGGGATGATGGACTATGCCCACCTGCAACTAAGATTGAACATGGCACCTTGAGCTGAGCGGCCGCGAGCTGCCAACGGGTGGCTAGATGGCGACTGGACTTGGAGCTGAGCTAGCTGCACCCTCCACAACTAAGACTGAAGGACAACAACTTGGCTGTTCCCCTTCCCTAATTCCCCAACAAAATCTTAAAAAAAGAAAAGATTGGAAATGGAACATGGAAGGCATAGGGAGGGTTGCTGGGTGAGTTAAGAATGCAAGACTTGGGACTCTTCAGGGAAGGCTGCTGAGTCAGGTCACAGAAAGGCCAAGGAAGAGTTTCTTGGTCACAGTCAGGAACATGGGCGGTGACAAGGAGGTTTTCTGGATCAAATGAGAGACCCATGAGCTCAGGGGAGAGTTCCCAGGTAAGGGTCACTGACATGGCAGGTCGCGGGCTTGCTGGATCAGGGTCAGGAAGTTTTGCCAGGTTGGGGCCAGGAACACATAGGACATGGGAGGACACCACCCTGGAGCCAGAGCCTTTGGAGTCACCCACTTTTCTCACTCTTTTCTCATATCCCACATTCAAGCCATCACCAAGCCTTAGCAGCTCAACCTCAGAATATACCCCGTATTTGTCACTTTTTCATGGTTTCCTCTTTGACCATGCAACCCAACCACCATCAGTTCATGCCCCAAACTGATCTTTCTTCAACATGTGCCCTCGTCTGTTCTCCACCCTGACCGATCCACTTAAAATATTAATCAGATCATGACTCACATACATACCCACCCCAAACTCTCTAAAGGTAGACACATAGATTGATAGGATGAAATAGCATACAAAAATAGACCTTGCTATATAGACTCAATTGACTTTTGGCGAAGGACTCCAGGCTCATCAATGGGGATAGAGAAGTCTTTTTTTGTTGTTGTTTTTTAAAGATTTTTATTGGGGAATTGGGGGAAGGGGAACAGACAAGTTGCTGTCGTTTTGTTCTTCAGTCTAGTTGTGGAGGACCTTGCTTCACTGGCCCAAGTTGGCACCATCATTGCTCTCTTCCCGGGCGAGGCAGATCAGTCGCCGGCTTCTGGACGGCCACTCACGGTGGCTGCTGGCCGCTCACGCTAGCAGCTGGCTACACACACGGTAGCCCATGGCAACCCACTGCAGCAGGGGCTGCAGCCTACGCCGTTGCCAGCAACTCAAGGCAGCCCAGCTCCAGGTTGAGCTGTTGTTCAGCATCTTAGCTGTAGAGGGCAGTGTCACTGGCCCTCATATGTGGGATCCGAACCGGGGCTCTCTGGCGTCCCAAGCCAGCTCTTAACAATCGCGCCCCTCGGCCGGCCCTAGAGAAGTCTTTTTAACAAATGACCCTGAAACGCTTGGAGGAGCATAAGGAAAAAATGAAGCTGGACCTTCGCTTCACGTACACACTGAATTAATTTGAGATGAATCATAGACCAAAATGCAAAACCCAGCATCATAAAGCTTCTAGAACAACACATAGGAATATATTTTTGTAACATTGGGGCAGGCAAGGATTTCTTAAAGAGGTCACAGAAAACATTAAACGAAAATTTGAAAATTGGTAAATTGGATTTAATCAAAATGCAAATCTTCTGTTTATAAGAAGACAATTTTAAGAAACTAAAATGCCAAACTATAGACTGAGAAAAAATGCTCTAAATCCAGACACTCGTCTATGACAAAGGATTTGTATCCAGAATATATAAACAACTACTAAAGATCACGAATGACATGGCAACTCAATTATTTTAAAAAAACGATCTACAAGTGGCCCATCAGTGTATAGAAAGATACATAACATCCTTAGTCATCAGGGAAGTGAAGACTAAAACCTTAGTGAGATACCATTTCACAAGCACTAGGATGGCTAAAATGGAAATGATCGACAATGCCAAATGTCGGCGTGACTACAGAACTATCAGAACCCTCAGGCATTGCTGGTGGAATTATAAACAGAACCCCTACTTGGAAAATGGGCAGTTTCTTACAAAGGGAAAGACTGTAACCCAGTAATTTTACTCCTAAGTATGTACCCAAGAGAAATGAAAACATAGATCCCCAAAGACTCAGATACAAATGTTCGCAGCAGCTTTAGTCATAACAACAACAAAAGCTGTAAGTAACCCAGATGTCCATAGTTAGGAAAATGGGTGAAAAAAAACTGCGGTGTATTCATACAACACACTACCACTCATCCATACAAATGAATGAACCCCTACACGCAACAACGTGGATGGAACTCAAAACGTATTAACGGGAAAGAAGCCGACTGCAAACAGTACCGACTGCCTGATTCCATTTATATGAACTTCTGGAACATAAAACAAGCCTCTGAGAGTCATATAAATTGAAACAATGTTTACCTATGGAGAGTGGAAATTGACTGAAAGGAAGCATCAGGGAAACTTTTGGATGGATGGGAATGTTCTAGAGTTTGACTGGGATGGTAGTTACATAGGCATTCATTAAGAGTCATCCAATTGTGTACATAAGAGCTGCACTTCCTGTGTGACTGCCATCCCGTTTAAAACAGAATCCCAGGGTACTCATTTATCAATCCCCTCTCTGCCCCATTTACTAACCCAGCCACAGGGCCCTCCCTACCCTTCCTTGAATATACCCAGCTCAGGTCCTCCTCTGTGACTTAGCACTGGCTTTCTGCACTTTCTGGCTAGAATAATCTTACCCCAATATTCTCAATCCCTCCTTCATTCAGGACTCTGCCCAAATCTTCTGCTCAAATCTTCTACCCTATCTCAAACAGCCTCTTCCTCTTGGCCTCATCAACTTCTTATCTTGCTTTGCTTTCTGGTATCGTATTTATTTCCACCTATGAGTATATTATATATTTCCTTATTTCTTGGATTCCCCCACTGGAATTCAAATTGCGTGTAGGCAACCTCTTTACCTGCCATTAGGGGCTCAGAACAATTCCTAACATATTACTTAATAAACACTTGTTTAATAACAATTAATACTTTTCCGGGTTGTTGTGAAAACTAAATAAGGCAGTGCATACAAAGTGCTTAGCATAGTGACAGAGAAAGTACTCAATAAATAGAAGCTACTGCTATCAGTCATCACTGTATCCTCAACATTGCCTGGCATAGCGACCAACACAAATTAGGTGTACAGTAGAAAGCTAGAGGAGTAGAGCAGATGAACGAATGGGCTGCTGAGTGGATTGGTAGGTTTATGGGCAGATGTGTGGATGGATGCTGGATGGCTGGATGGATGATGGATGGATGGATGGATGATGGATGGGATGATATGACGGAATGATGGACATATGGATAGAATGAGTGGATGGATGGATAGATGAGTGGGTGGTGGGTGGGTGAGTGATAGTCTTAATGAATACCCAGAAATTCATGGGTGAAGCCTAGAGAATCGTTTCTGTGAGATTTCACAAGTCTATCTTTGCAGCAGAATGCTCCGGAAAGGTAAAGAGGGCAGCTTATCTAATCAGGGTCTTCTGCATTGCCCTGAGCAGATGCACACCACTCTACATCTCACATCTCTCCCTCATTGTCATTTTCAGAGCAACTCCTCAAATAGGGGGGAACTTATTCTCCCCATTTATAGATGAGGAAACTGAGGCCCGAGAAGTTGAATTGATTCATCCAAGTCACACAGCCAGAGAGCGGAGAAGGCTAGCCCTCAATCCTGGCTCTCCAAACTCCCCTTTTTCTATACTCCTATGTCCAGGGAGTGGGGGTGAAACCTGGGGCTGGGAGCATTCCATCAGGTGCTCTCAGTGTGTGTTCTAGCAGAAGGCAAGGGGGCCAGGGTTTCACTGCCAGCAGCTGCTAATGGGCGTCAGGGTGGTGGCAGAAGTGCAGCTGACCCGGCTCCCGGAAGTAACACCTTGCTGCAGCAGTGAGGGTGGGAGTCAAAGGGGTCATCTGCTGCAAAGGCGCTTGTGGGTCAGTAGCTGCAGGGATCAAGCTCAGAGAAGTGAGGGCAGAGCAGACCCCTCGCCTGCCCCTCTCTGTCCCTCAGGGTCAGCTCCAGGAACTGCAGCTCAGGCGGCAAGGGAAGGGGTCTGGCTGTCCCAGTTGGGAGAAGGCACCAGCTCTCTCTCTCTCTCCTCCACCCCTGGGCTCCTGGCTTCCCTCTGAAGACCTGCGTGCCTTCAAGTCCTGCTTCTGCCACTTTCATGCTGTGTGACCTCTGGCAAGCCACTGCCCTCCCTATGGCCAGTTTTATGGCCACAAAATGGGCTACGTGGGAACCTGCCTCATGAGCACTAGGATGGGAGTGACAGTCCTAAAACGGGGTTTAGTGCATGTTAGACACCTGATACCTGTTGGGTCCCTCGCCCCTCACGGTCAGTATGCCCAGGCCCTAGCTTGAAGAAAGTAGGTGGGACCATTAGAAAACAGGGCAGTGAGGAATCCGACCGGGAAGGGGAAAGGGGTCTGACCTTGTCCTCCAGAGGGTCAGACTTCTTGGGCACAGGGATGCCCTCCCTTCTGAGCCCTCTGCTGGCTGCAGCAGGACAGTGCCGTCCCAGCAGGACAAAAGAGCAGACAAAATCACCCAGGGCCACACCCGCCTTGTGGAGTGCTTCCCACCTGCAAACCGACCTACACAGAACTTGAGTGCTAATAAGGACGGAAGGTGAAAAAGAGGCTTGAGCCCGTCCCTTATGGGGACGATCGCAAAAAGTCAGAAGGTAAAATGAGTTCATGCACGTGAGGCGTGAACAGAGTGACGGGCCCCTGTTGCGCCACCTGACAAATGTTAGCCCTCAACCCTCCGTCTCCCGATATTCCTAACCACCAGGGCAGTGGGTAGGCCCAGGTTGTCATCATTTTATGGTTCCCGTTTTGTATTTGGGGAAAGCCAGGTGAAGTGACTCGCCCAAGGGCACAGAATAGGGCAGAACTGGCTCTCAGCCTCCCAGGCCAGTGCTCCTTTCTCGCTCCTGTGGATGCAGCCATGGAAACCGCCCTCACCTTCCGTGCGGTTCCCCCACCACCACCATCAGAGCAGGCCCAGCTCTTCCCAGTGATGCCTCCATCAGCCCCATGTGGCCCTTCAGATGTCTGGCTCATGGTTTGATTGACTTTTGGTCTCCTTCGCAGAGAATGAACTTGGCTGTGCCTGGAGACCACCCACATCTGCCAGGTGCTCTGATTTCTGCTCAGAGAGTCTGAGTGGGAAGCAGAGGCTAGAGGAACAGGCAAGGACAGATGGGGGAGGTCCTGGGGGGCTGGGGACAAAGCTTTTCTCCTGCCACCACCCCTGGAAGATGTTCACAGAGAATGGCACAGAGCATGCATGGTGCTCTGATCAAAACCCTATGGCCTTCGTCGGACCCAGGAAGCGCTACGGGGTCTGTCCCCAGCCCCACCCTCATTATCCCCTGACCTTCTGCCTCAGCACCTTCTCCCTCTGCCTGGAACCCTCTTCATGAGCATCACGTCTCAGCTGAAATGTCACCTCCTTGGAAGAGACACTGACCGCCACTCACCCTGGCTCTGATTCTCTGCATAATGCTACGCTCCCTGAGAGTTTCTTGTCTGTGTACTGGTTTGCATCTCGAATGACTTCCCGACTAAAGTGGGAGCTCCAAGTTCTCAGGCACTTGGTCTTGTTCACCACTGTGTCCCCAGCCCTGCCAAAGCCTGGCACATAGTTGGCTCAATAATTACTTGTTGAAAGAAGGAAGGAAGGAAGGAAGGAAGGAAGGAAGGAAGGAAGGAAGGAAGGAAGGAAGGATGCTGGGGGAAAGAGTCCTGGCCTGAAAGCCAGAAAATGTGGGAAATTGGCTCTGTGGTGACCGTGGCTAAGCCTGTGTGTCACCCGCGGTCCCGTTTTCCAATCTGAAACCTGATAGGATGGACCCAGTGATCCCAGTGGCTCCTCCATCCTGATATTCTGCTCACAGGACAGCAGTGCCCTTGGGCGTCTGGTCTCCCAAGCTCAGAGATGTAAGGGGGCTTAGAAGAAGTGATACGAGGGTGTGAGAAAGAGGTAGGGAGGACAAAGGGCCAGGGAAGGAGATGGGCCCCCCACACCTTGTTCACCATCTACCCATCCCCCTCCTAGAGATTCCAGAAAAAAAGCCCACTGGGCAGATTAACCTAGAGGCAGGAGCCCTGGAGCAGGGGCCAGGGGACCTGAATTGTGGACCCAGCTCTTCCCCACTGTGTGACCTTTGGCAAGTCACCTCCCCTCTCTGGGCCTCAGTTAGCTCAGCTGTACAATGAGGAGCCTATGGCAGACCCCCACCTCACAAGGGTCAGTGCAGGGGGAGTTCGGGCTGCCTCGAGCAGTCACGGCTGCTGGACTAGGCTTCCCCCATTCAAAGCTGAGTCATCCCTCGGGCAGCACCTCCCGGGGGCACCCCTCACTCCATCGTCCTCTAGGCTTCTCTGATTTGACTTTTGTCGCACTAGCTTGTACTTGTTTTTCATCCCTACTGAGAGTGAACGCCGCAGGACAGAGACCATATTCTATATCCTGTTGAATCCCCGGGTTCCAGACAGGGTCTGACTCCTTCCAGGGGCTCAGGGAACGCGTGTGCATGAAGGCAGGCATAATCAAATGAATGAGTGAATGAATGAATGAATGAATGAGCACCCTCGGAGCTCCTACCTCAGCAGCAGCCAATCCCGAGGATGCTGACTGCTGGACTGGGACTTTCTCTTCCATTTCCCCTGCCCTTTCTTTCCTGGCTCAGTTCCCCGCACCCCACACACGCACACACTTCTTTGACCTAACCTTCCTCTCCCTACAGTTGCCCCCAAAGGACCTAAAATCATGATGACGCCCAGCAGAGCCCGGGTCGGGGACACAGTGAGGATTCTCGTCCATGGATTTCAGGTCGGCCTCTCTCTGAGCATCTGGGAAGGTTGTAGGAGGTAGTAGGGGCACCAACTGGGCACCATGTCCCTGGCAGCATGCTCCAAGACCCTTCCCTTGACCCCCCGCGCAGCCAGCAGGACTCAGTCTGCTAATCTGTGTAATGGCAGCATTGGCTTCAAGGAAGAATGGCCAGAGGTGCCTGCTTGTCTGCTTACCCATCTAGAACTTGGAGCAGACATAGCTCATGAACCTTGATATTCTTTCCTGCCCTTTTCTGCCTGGCGTTCCTGGCAGCCCCTCCCAACCCATCGGGTGAGAATGTGTTGCCAGCCCAGCCCAGCCCAGGCCAGGCCAGGCCAGGCCTCTAACCCCTTCCTGCTCTGGCAGAATGGTTCCTCATGTGACCTGACTCTCCCTTGCTCTGGCCAACAGAACGAAGTCTTCCCAGAGCCCATGTTCACGTGGACACGGGTCGGGAGCCGCCTCCTTGATGGCAGCACCGAGTTCGACGGGAAGGAGCTGGTGCTGGAGCGGGTCCCCGCCGAGCTCAATGGCTCCATGTACCGCTGCACGGCCCAGAACCCGCTGGGTTCCACCGACACACACACCCGGCTCATCGTGTTCGGTAGGCTGCACCCCACCAGGGATCAGGGGGACGGCTCAGGGACGGGCCCTGGCTGGCGCTGTCCCAAGGAGGAGGGAGCAGCAAAGGCCCAAGCTCCCTAAATTTTCCCTGAGAGCGTGCCCCACAGGGAGGCACTGTAGTTCAGCGGTTAAAACCAGGGAGCTCTGGGTTCAAATCCCAGATCCTCCCGTTAGCAGCTGCGCAACCTTGGGCAGGCTGCTTCCCCTCCCTTCCTCGCTCCATCCACGCAGTGGGGCTGGTGCTGCCAGCCCGGTGTGGCAGCACCAGGACAATGCACGTGACACCACACAGCAGGCACTGGCTGAAGGGCAGGGAGCTCCTTTACTGCGTTCCGAATGCCACCGTCCACTCGCTAGCTCTCCCTCTGCTCTTTCCAACAGAAAACCCAAATATTCCAAGAGGAACGGAGGACTCCAATGGTAAGTCTCCACTGTCAGAGCTTCTTGCTTAAAAGTGAGTGATTTTCAAGGCTCCAGCCAGCTCTGGCCCCCAAACTGCCCAATAGCCTACCCTGGCCCCTCCCTCAAGCCTCCGTCAATCACCTTCTAGTTAGGTAGAGCCTGGGTCAGAGGTGGTTAGGAGTGGCACTGAGGCTCTAAAGGGGGCTCAGCACCCCAAAGCAGCACCAGGGATTTCCAGGGACCAAGTGTGTCCCCACCACCATCCACAGTGATTCTAGTGCTCTTAGCTCAGAGAGCTCAGGCGCCCCCACTCCGGCCCCAAAAAGATGTGTCCAGCATCGCGGTGGGATTGTGTTCGGGGGCCCTGGACTACTCTATAGGGCGTTGGGAACAGACAGATGCCTCTGCTAGGGCCCTTCATACTGCTCTCCCTAGGCTGCCCCTTGACCTGCATACCACCCCATGGCACCCAGATACTGCTCTCAGGCTAGCCAGCCCTCCCAGCCCCACACCGAGCCAATCTCCCAGTTCACAACGGAGGCCTCCACTCCTGATCCCCACTGAAGGGTCCCGACGGCCACCAGGGAGGCTGACCTCGGCCCAGCTGGCCCCGTGCAAAGAAGGGGTTGTGCGCAGTTAGAACCCAGTGCATCCCGACTCTTTGCTGGTGCCATTGAAGCCATGCCGTCCCCAGGCTTCCCACCCTGTCATGCCCAGAAAGCGACACAGTGGCTCTGCGGGCCCTGACCCTACTCCCTGCAGCCCACACAGGTTCCGCTTCTGGCCCTGCTGGTGACCGGCTCACCTTGGTGCTTGTCCTGACAGTGGTCCTGGAGCTGACGTGAAGGCTCGGCCCCTGTTCCCACCACTCCATCGGGCACTGACATCTCTGCGATCGCTTTTCATTTCTTTTCTAAACTATTTCCAGTCTGGTTCTTAGTCTCTTTCTGTCTGTGTCTTGGCTTCTTCAGTCAGTTTAATTAAAACAAACAGAATGATTTTCCCCACCTGGGCCTGTGGCTCTGTAGTCTTCATTTGTTCTATAGCAGCAACAGGGCATCCCCTGGTACCCAGCATTGGAACAGGCACTGGAGTGGGGTGGTGACGACAAAGATGGAAGACATGCTCCTCCCTGGATGAGTGGTGGAGGTGCAGCTCTCACCCAAGTCCTAACAACCAGGTGTGGTAAGTGGCCAGAGGCTGCCAGGAAACCCAAGGTCCTCATTGTCACAATAACACTGCATAACCAACCGGCCCACGTCTCAGCGGCTTACAACAAGCATTTATGATTACGTCCCTGTTCAGGATGACGTGGTAAAGCTGATCCAGTGCGGACTCAGTGCCCAGCTCTGCTTCAGTTGACAGGTCGACCGGGCTGGACCCCAGGCTGTGGGTTGGTCTCAGGTCTCCTCCATGGGTGTCTGTTCTGGGGCTCAGGCTAAAGGGCTCGTGGCTATTTCGCATTTCATCCTCTTGTGTTCACCAAAGCTTGAGAAAAAACCCAAACCATGCAAGCACTGTTAAAGCAGCTGCCTATCGTGTCCATGAACACTCGTTTAGCCAAAGAAATCACATGGCCAAGGCCAACATCCATCAGGGTCCAACACACATACGCACGTAAGTCAGTAGTAGAGGTGACAGAGCTTTCTACTCAACCACTAGAGGATTTCCCATGCCATTCAGTTATAAGCTCAGAGGGAAAGACTGACAGTCCCTGGGGAAAGCAGGGGAGGGGGGTGTGTTGCCTCTCAGCTGTGGCCAAGACTTGAAAGTCACCAAGGAGAGCCCATAGAAGACTAAATTAGTCCAGATGGGATAGGCTATGCTGTAGTAATACATTCACCCTGGAGTCTTACTGTCTTAACACAATACAAATGTCCTTGGGGCTGTGGAAAAGCCCAAGGCAGATTGGGCAGTCCTTCCTCCTTCATCTTGAAGCTACACCAACTGGAAGATGTGGCCTTCAGAATCTCCAAAACAGGGGGAGACTGGGCTGGAAGATCACCTCCGTAGACAGAATAATGGCGCCCCGGGGATGTTCACGTCCTAACCCCCAGAGCCTGTGAATACATTACCTTACGTGGCAAAAGGGATTTTGCTGATGTAATTCATTTAAGGGATCTTGAGATGGGAAGGTTATCCTAGATTATCCTGGTGGGCCCAGTGTAATCACAAGGGAGGCAAGAAGACAGTAAAAGAAGATGTGATGACAGAAGCAAGAAATTAGGGTGATGCAAGGAAGGGACCACAAGCCAAGGAAGGTGGGCCACGTCTGGAAACTGAAAAAGACAAGGACACAGATTCTCCCCTAGAGCCTCCAGAAGGAAGTGGCCTTGCCAACACTTTTAGAACCATAAGACTCATTTCAGACTTTTAGCCTCTAGGACATAAATTTGCATTGTTTTAAGTCACTAAGTTTGTGGCAATTTGTTACAGCAGCAAAAGGCAATTCATACAATGAAACAGGATATTTTTAAAGATGAGGCCTGGTTGTGGCATAGATCACCTCTGCCCACATCCCATTGGCCAGAAGTAGTCATGTGGCCCCGACCTAGCTGCAAGGGAGGCTGGGAAATAGTCTTCCTGTGTACCCTGGAAGAGGAAATGGAGTGGTGAACACAAACCATTGTGTCTGCCACGGAGAAGCAGAGGCCAGAGAGCTGGAGGCTTTGCCATCAAGGAAAGGCATCTTGCCCACATCTGCTGCATCGGAGCAACCTGGGATTCTCCCTTCTGACCCAGGAGAGACATGACCTCCCAGGCCATGCAAAAGTCCTGGGGAATCAGGACCCATCCCTACAAAAACCCCAAGCCTCAGACACGCCAGGATGAGAATTAAGCAGTGGCTCTGCCCCCTTGCTGTCATTACAGCCCCTTTGCCTCTAGCCAAGTCAGAACCTAGATGAACAGTTCAATTAATTTCCACCTTGACTCCCAAATCCCTGACTCCCTAACTTTTACCTGGAATTCCAGACTCAGATATCCCACTTCCTATTGTTATCCCTTCCCATACTACATATCCAATATGCATTTCCAACTTCACATGGCTGAAGCCCTTTTGACTTTCCCTTCCAAAACCTGCGTCTTCTTCTCATTCTCAGGAAACAGTACCAGTATCTACCCAGTTGACTGGATCAAACATTTAGCTGTTAACTTTTATTCATCTCTTTCCTTCATCCTTCCACATCTAATCCAACAACTTGTTGACTTTACTCTCAAAATTCATCCTGAATTCACCCACTCCTCTCCTTCTCCACTGCCACCTCCCTACACAGAGCTACCTCTTGCCTGGGAACTGGCCAAGCCTCCTACCTGGCCTTCAGGTTTCCCTCTTGTCCTCCACTCACAGCCTGATCTCCCCACAGTTGCCAGAGGGATCCTTTTAAATATAAATCATTCATGGCGCCCTCCAACGTGGAACCGTCCAATGGTTCACCATATGCTATAGACTGAATGTCTGTGTTCCTCCAAATGTATATGCTGAAACCTAATTCCCCTTGTGATAGTAGTAGGAGGTGGGGCCTCTGAGAGGCGTTGAGGTCATGAGGGTGGAGCCCTCTTGGATGGGATTAGCGCCCTTATAAAAGAGACCCCAGAGAAGCTCCCTCGCCCGCTCTACCATGTAAGGACACAGC